GGAGCTTCCAGTGCAGAAGAAAGTACAGACATATTGCAAACATACATGATGCACGCATACATAGGAATTACACAGTAGAGATGAAATACAACACTAATATAAGAAAAACAGAAAATGAAATAATGCAATATAATACAGAAGTAGAAATATAGAGAAAAAACATATATAATTGTTTTAATGAATGTACAGATATTTTATTTACAAGTGTACAGTTTATGTAGTTTGCAAAGATAAAATTTTTAGATGCTATGTATAAATGTGTCAGTTATAATGGACAATGTATTAAATGGAAAGTTTTAATTGTTCAGACTGAATATAACCTGTGGGAAAGAAAACTGTTCTTGTGCCTGGCTGTTCTGGTGGTCGGTGCTTTGTAGTGTCGAAAGAGAGAGTGGGCTGGGTGTGTGGGGTCTAAAAGTCCAAAGGGTTTCTTAGCCCTTTTCCTCACTCTGGAGGTGTAAAGATCTTGGAGGTTGGGCAGGGGGGAAGCAATAATCCACTCAGCAGTCCTGACTGTCCGTTGTAGTCTCTTAATGTCTGGTTTGGTTCAGCTACAGTTATGGATGAACACAGGACGGACTGATTTAATGATGGCCGAGTAGAACTGTTTCAGCAGCGCCTGAGGGGACTTGCAGGTGGGGTAGGTGTATGTGTGAAGTGTAGATCAGAGCGGGGGTGGGGTGTGAGACTGGGCTTTTCAATCCGGTAGTAAAACACATTCAGATTGTCAGCCAGTTGTTGATTCTCCACAGACTGTGGAGGTGGTGTCTTGTACTTGGTGATGTTCCTCAGACCAGTCCATACTGACGCCGGTTCGTTGGCTGAAAACTGTTTTTTCAGCTTTTCGGAGTAGCTATCTTTAACCACTCTGATTTCCTTTGTTAGTCTGTTTTTTGTTAGTCAGATTTTATCCCCACTTCTGTAAGCATCCTCTTTGGCATGACGAAGCTGTTTGAGTTTCTCAGTAAACCATTGTTTATCATTATTGAATGATAGGAATGCCCTGGTAGGAATGTACATATTGTGACGAGCGTCCCGAGGCTTCATCAGCGTCGCCCTGGAAACAAGCGAGGAGCACCTGGCCATCATCATCACAGGCTGATCGGTCACAGCTGCACCTCATCAGGCGGCGGCTACATAAGCCACGCAAGCCCTGCCATCGAGGAGATTCCTCCATGAGACTGAGCACTAACTCGCCCTCTCATTTTCCCCACAGAAAGCAGCGTGTGACCGACCAGCCCCACAGGAGCACTGCACGGACCCTCTGCACTGGGAAGACGGAAGAGAGCACTCACGGCACCGGAGCACCTACCTGGACCTTTCTCACTAGCACCCATCACACCAATAAATCCACCCTCCGGGGTATTGATTGAGATTACTTGTCGTGTGATTCTTCACCCCGTTACAATATCCTCACAGAAACTGATATATGAAGTTACAGTATCTGTGAGCTCATCCAGATTGGTGGCTGCAGCTTCAAAAACACTCTAATCAGTGCAGTCGAAGCAGGCTTGTAAATCCCGCTCTGCTTCATTAGTCCGTCTTTTAGCAGTCCTTAATACAGGTTTAGTTGATTTCAGTTTTTGTCTGAAAGGTTGGTATGAGATGAACTAGGCAGTGATCAGAGAGCCCTAAAGCTGCCTGTGGGACAGGGTGATATGCATCCTTTATTGTGGTGTAACAGTGATCCAATATGTTACTGTCTTGAGTGGGACATGTAACGTGCTGTCTGTATTTTGACAGTTCATGGGAAAGTCTTGCTTTGTTAAAATCTCCAAAAAATGATTAAAAGAGATGCGTACTTTGAACAGCTGGAAGCCCAGCAGATGAAGTGCATTGTCCGCAATTGCTTCACTCAGCCAGGTTTCAGTGAAGCACAATGCAGCAGAGTTGAGGAGAAAAATGCCGACACGCTTCCCTCTTCTGCGTCTGTATGTGCATTTGAACAGCACCGCTGCACCTCAGACTAGAATGTCCATCAAGACGTCTGAATAATCAAAGACCTGAAAAATATAGTCTGGGATGTGTTGCTTAATGTTAAGGAGTTCGTCTCTGGTAAAACGTATAGAAGAAGAATGACTAAACACAGAACAAACAAACAAAAACAGCAGAAGAATTGCGGAGCTCAACGCCATGGCTGCCATTTGCGGTGGCATCTTGATTGTCCAAGTACCTTATAAATCTGATGGAATGGTGCACAGTGTTCCCAGATGAACGTTTTAAGCAACTCAGACTCACAGCATATGCAAAGATGGAGTTTGAGACGGTCTGTGCATGTAAATCAAAAGTGACAGTAAAGACATTTATAATGTTACAAAAACGTTCCATTTCAGCTAAATTCTGGTCTTTTGAACTTTCTATTCATCAAAGAGTCCTGAAAAAAAAGTATACAACTGTTTTATAACTGTTTTATGCCACACTAGCTTTGGTTACCCATCCAGCTGTTCAAAATCAGTTTCTATATGATTTTTGTAGTTGGTTATCTAGCTGTTATGTGTCTAAGATGGAAGACTGATCAGGCACTGGCCATTGTTTTGATACTGATAGCTCATACAAAATGTCAGACCAAACACCAAGCACCCCATTTTCTGAAATGTTTTTAAAGCATTTTCTGAAATTACATCTCTAGTTTGCCCTTGAACGCTCTCTCAAACTAAAAGAAACCCACTACGCATCAGTCCTGCTGTCACCATAGTGACATGAGCACAGCAATGACAACAGCTGTTGTTCAAGACAACAGCTCCAATGGTTTCATAGTGTTTCCGGACAGTCACCTGCAGAGAAGGGAGGAGAGCTGTTCCACCCAATAGAAAGTCTAATTAAACTTACTGCAAGTTCATTCTGACTCCTCTAAACTTTGAGGTTTCATACCTGCCACATTCATTCCATCTATTATTATTCCATCTGTGTGATTGACAATGGCAGTAATTACAGAGCAGGTACAATGGCAGCGACACCAGCTGTGTGGGAATGGGCAGATCTTACATGTCCTGTGGCTAGAAGAGCACAAGGCTCACAGTCTGCTCGCTGTTCATCAGCACATATTCTACGACCTACCGTGGGCCTTCAGGACTTCCTGGGGTCATGCCGGTACTGGCGAGAGAGATATAACACTGACTGCACATGAACTGGTGAGGCAGAGAGAGTCTGTAGGCAGGCGAGTGAGTAAATGAACAGAGGACTGAGTAAACGCAAGCGAGAGATTAGGAAGGATGGATGGGAGGATGTTTAAACAGCTAAACACACCTCACAGCGTGTTCGTTCAGTCCATGCTGCAGTCGAGGCTTCCCGTTGAAATCACACCTCATTCTCCACCTTCCTCGCACACTAAATTAGACGCTCACACACTGGAGTTTTCATCTTTCTCATTCTCACTCCATCTCTCACTTCCTGACCCGTTATCTGCTTCTATCTATATCCCCCATTAGTGGTGTTGTGAACAGCCCAGTGTTTTTGAACTAATATTTTAGTGAACGACTTAAGTTCACTTAATGCACTGGTTTTCCTTTGTAAAGACTGCTTTGACTTGAGCAATTTCCTGTGTGGCCTGTGAAAGAGTATTTCATTGTTTGAAAAGCTATGTTAACAAATACACCCCTTCACTGGAAAAATCAGTGATTTGTGTCTGAACTAGACTCAATATATAAGAGAATTCTGTTCATGAATGAATAATCAATTGTGAACAAGAATCTTCTAACAAATAATGACTAAACAAAATAGGGCATGTTCATTCAGTTCCACATGAGAGCATTTCCTGTTCATCAAGGTTTGGCTGTTAGCTTCAACAGTGGAATTCGAAATTAGTTGAGTGACAGTTGAGTGAATGATTCAGTGACTCGCTTATAATACTCAGACACTCATTGGCGCCACCTACATGTTCATTGCTGTAACCTACAAAAACTTTCACTGAGATGAGTCTGAATAAACCTTTGTTTAACCCTTTCAGTGGTGAGTTCAAAATATTCTAGTGGTCCCCCCAGAGTGAGTTTTTTTTAAGGTGACCGTTATTTTAGAACGCTTCCCCTTACTGTTTCCATGGCGACGCGTCATGCATGTCACGTGACACACCGCGGCCAGAATAACACTGTATGACAGATGGATCGCTTTTATTTCCTTTTTCCTTTTTTATTTAAAATATTCACAAACTTGCTTACAATGTCATGAACAATCTGATATTCCGATTCACAAATATGTGTAAATGAGTGTGTTTTATCGTTTAAAAAGCTTTCTAAATGATCTTGATCGTGATCTGTAACGTGAGATGGGCTCCGCCATGTCTGTTCGCACCGCAGTTCAGAGAGTCCTGTCAGTCGGATTTGCAGCACGTGAATTCATCAATTTCTCCCGAAATACAAGTAATAAGTGGCCGGTGAACTGGGTGAAGAATAGAGTGAACTTTATAGTTACTTACACTATGTGTATCTGATATGAATAAAACACATCGGCAAATTAAATTTGAATGGATTGTTATTGTTGCTTCCATAGACATATGTGTGTATTTTACAAACTCTACATGTATTGTTTTACTAGTACTTATGTGTATTTAAATGTCTGAAACCTAAAATATGCATTATGTGGTTAAGAACACTGCATAGTTGTGATGCGCAGTGCACATCTCTCTCTGGCTCAGTGTCAGCCAACTCGCGAAACCATAGTTTGAATTTGGCAGTTATGTGACATCACCGAACGTTCTAAATCCCATATGTGGGACCGTACTCCCAGGGGCACGGAAATAAAAATCCCATATGTGGGACCGTACCGCTCAAAGGGTTAACAGAATCAAAAGATTCAAATCAGTGGAATGAATCAAAAGTCCCACTATTGTCCTGTAGCTGTCTAAAATAAATTTATCATGCCATATTTGTTGGCACCTACAAATCCTTATGGAATACATTTATCAACATACAAAGATATTGGAAGAATTGTGAATGTGCACCTGATTTTTCCTTATTAATATTCCAGATAATATGGGTAACCCTCTTTTGTCTTTCCTGGGTTAGCTTCTGCCTGGCTGCCACATCCTGCGATGAGTCGAAGGGAGGCTTTGGTGGGAAACCCTGCGCCTAGTGCGGCGCCTGAGGTATCGGGCAACAGCACAAAGGCAGCAGGACCCGGTCCCCACGAGACCAAAGATGAGATGTTCTCCAAAGTCAAAGACAAGTTCATGAATGAACTGCACAAAATCCCACGTGAGTGAATTTTTTTAACACAACACTCAAAGGTCTTCACTTGATTATATTTGCTCTTTTCATTTTGCATAATTTTGACACTGAAAATTAAACCTTGAATGGCATTGATTGAGCCCCAGTATGGATAGGGATTGGCAAGGTCTGACAGATCCATTTTTGATTATTTTGTTTCCATTTTTTTACTTTCCATTGTTCACCCAGTGGTGAAAAATAATGAGCATGAGAAACAGGCAGCCACCAAACATGTTCCTTCTCATTCTAATTGTAAATAAGCAAGTAAATTAGTTTTGTTATTTGCGTGCCTTCGTTTGTCTAAGTGCCCTGTGCCTCGGTCCACAACACACTGCAACTCTCACTGTGAATCATGGAGCTGAATTCAGGCATCTAACCACCAACCAATTCACTGTACACTCATTCATATTTTCAAGTAAACACTGAAACATCTGCAGCTGTTTGTGCGTGGGTGTTTCCTCAGCTAGGTGCTTTTATGTCCCAGGGATTGATTCTTTTTTTCTTCTTCTTCTTTTTTCTTTATATTAGATACTGGATATTAAGGTCAAATTATAATTATCTTGGAGCAAAATATGTTGAGATTACTTAGCTGATACTATGAGCAAGCCTGAATAAAGCACTTTCAGGTGTTACTTTTTTTTGTAACAGACATTTTGTGTGTGACATTAAAGGAAGGGGCAGGAAAATATGAAATTGAAAGCAGCACAATAATAAACCAGTGTGCAACAAATGGTAACTCTTGTTGGTAACAAATGGACTCGCAACGTTCTCTGTGAAACATAAAGACAACAAAAACAAAAAATAATTCTTGTTTAGTTGCAAGTAGCTACAAACCAAAATTTAAAAGAAACTCCATAAAATTTGGCAAACTAATAAACTTATTTTGTTAATATCCAGCTACCTTCTAATGCAGTATTAGAACCAAAATAAAGCCTCATTTGACACTGAAAATTAGCCCCTGAATGGCATTGATTGAGCCCCAGAATGGATACAACGCTTTCTTTTGATTTGAGACACTTTTTCTAAGCTGTAATGAATGAGAAGTGCTCAAGAAGCTTAACCTTAAAATGTTGCTAAGCTAATTTCTCAACACCTTTATAAGCATGTTTTGTTTTGCTTTTTTTTCCCCACAATTGACAACCAGCCCACCACAGTATTGAGCTAAAGTTTACTCATATATATAGCAGAGGTGAAGGCAGAATTACATTTAGAGCTACATAAAGGATGCTGCGCCTGTCGTGACACCATTGGCAAGACCTGAGAAAGATCTGAATCCTCTTCTACACCTACGGTACCTTACTATAGGTGTCTGGTCATTTTACCCATCTCTCTATCTCTCATACTCAATTTCACACATAGAACTTCGCTCCCACTCTCACTCACACTCTCACACATGTACACTTTCACTTCCACCCTTGCTTTCACACTTGGAGACACATTCACCACATTAATTATCACTTTGCCTTCCTGCAGACAACTGTAAAATAAAGGGTTGCCGCATTTGACTCAGACAGATATGCCCCTTCTGAGATCCAGCCAGAAAAAGACACTCCATTAAAGCGGCTTAAAGTACTGTTTTAGCCGCCTCCCTCCATCACACAAACGTCTCCTTGCCAACCGGTGGCTGGGCTGATGAATGCCTTGGGAGATGGGTGCTGTATTGACCGGGGCATCCAGGAACCCTGACGCACCTGCATTAGTGATGAATGGGCGAGTCCAGATGCAGAATACTTGAGCTGTTCTGTGCCAATACAATCCAGTGTGTTAAAAAAGTGCAGGTGCCGCCTGTAAAAGTAAGACGCATGGACCTGTCACGATCTGCCATCTAGCACAGCAAAAACAGAGGAACACAGATAGATGCTGCGTAGTGAGGATAAAAATGTACTTTACTCTAACTCTTCTGCCTTTCTGTCATAGCGGTATGTAGGCAAAACATGAAGATGAATACTGTTTGACATCTATTTCCATGCCAGAACTGAGTGCCTAGGCTCTTTAAAAAAGACTTTCTTAAAACATACTTTTCACTCACTAGTTTAATTTGCATGCACCGTAGAAGTAAATTTTGTGACTTTTTTTCCCTGAAATGAATGTAAATTAATTCCTGAAATGAACATTTCCACCACTGTCATTCCTACCACGTTTCAAACGATATGTTTCATAGCATTTTGTGATGGAAATGGCATTATATACAGTATTTTTAGGAATAAAATGGCTGAAAAATTATTTAAGGATAATTTCATAGCATTTACAGTATATATATATATATATATATATATACATACAAAATGAAATGATTTACACCTAGAAACGGACACATAAATAAAAATTCTCTGTTCATTCTGTTATTTTTCTTTGTTCTCCTCACATTTCTCATATGTCCTGAAAACACTGACACTGATTTCTTCTTGGTAAACAAGAGAACAAGATACCTTTTGATTTAAAAAAAAAAATAAAAAATATTAAAAGGAGAACATTGTTGGTTGTGGTGGAAATAGGAAATGTAAATGTAATAATTCATACTTTTATAATACATTTTCACAATGTAAGATTGAAAGTCTGTGTCTGGCATAAGGGTGGGGCAATAAAAAGGTATTTGAAAAGTTGAAAAAAATAAATAATGAAGGTATGTAACAAAAAGAAAAAAAAAATCAGTTTTAATAAAAATCCACCCTTAGGAACATAAAATGCCCAAAGAAACAAAGAAACACCCAATTACTCCCTGGTACTTCAGACCAAGGGGAAATGTAAATGAACAGGTAATTTGTTTTCATACCAATTTGCACAAAGTCTCAGATGGTGACATATATTCAAAAGGGTTTATCCATAACCTGTGATTACTAACGTTCCCTCAACCCTTACGGTCACACAACATCACATCCGTTCTACAGCACCCGTCACAAACGGTCCTGCGTGTAGAATCACTCTGACAGGTAGCTCTCAGTACGCCACACTTGCTTTGTCACGGCTCTCTTTGAGAGCGTTCCCCTCAAGCCTTGAGGCTGGTTGACAGGTTCAACAGTTTGAACCCGACCATCTTGGCTCGGAAAGGTCTCCGCACCGCTGCGGTTACACAGCTTGGTTGACTCGGAGCAACAAAAGAAAATGACTGTTACACAACAGCTCTGGTTATTCTCCCAACGCTCTGCTACTCAAGCTCATGGCATCTGTTTTCGATGATAATTAACCTCGCTGCACAGAGACAGTTTGAGACATTATTCAGCTCTGCCACAATTACTGTGAATAATGAACACACTCTGTCCAGCCTCTGAAACACTGGGTACCCAGATCCCCAACACAATGCCCCTTGATCTCAGCAAATTTCTGATGTTCTATCAAACACCACAATCAATGTTCATTTCATTCGTTAAAATGCGAACTTAACTGGGAATGTGCTTTGAACATTAACTACAAATTAATGGGATCAAATTTTATAAATTGTCATTATTGCAAGAAATCTACATGTATTTGCATTTTAATTGGATCACAACTATGAAAAATTTTGTCTTATGATTTGTCACATTGTTATACACTGATTGGCTCTGTTTCAAACCCTAGTGAGCTGCCTAGCTGTCTACCATCTGCATAGGCAGCTATATTGTAAATGAAATCTTATTAGTATCTGAATTAAAATGCTCGTTTAGACAGCAGCTCACGAGGGACTTGCAAAAAATGTCTGACATTAGCATGATGCTAAGCTGCAACTGGCACGTGTATAGCATCCACAAATATTGGGCAAAAGTTCATTTTAATTCAACTATTTTCTGCACACTTTGCTTACAAGAGGAACTAGGAGACGAGGAGACGTGGAGATTTCACAAAACGAGAGTCTTTAATAATCCAACAGAGAGACACAGAGCACAAGGAAGACGTTCACAATGAGTAGACCCGGCGAAGAACTAAGAGACAGACAGGAACTTATATACACAGGATAATAAGGAACTGAGGTGCATGGAATCATAATGCAATCAAACTAAACAAGAACAGGAAAAAGACCATATAAGGAAACACAGGAAGAACTACGTGGGCAAAACGGGTCCAAATGTCTGACACTTATCTATCTTAAAAAATAACTAGAAAATAGTTTCACTAACTTGCATCAAATATTTATGTATATTTATATACATAATTTATATATTTATATGTTTTTTAGGCTCTTTTGACTTTATTTTGATAAGAAAGTAGAGATCGTGAAATGACTAGGAAAGGACCCCAAGTCTGGTCTCGAGGTCACCCGACCCAATATACTTTTCCTCTACTAAATTACATAGTAATATTTTTTAAATCAACATTTCTCTTAATTTTGTCCTCATTATAGCAATAACTTCAGCATGTAATAATCTCTAACTGGCACAAAATACAGTAAATATTGTCTGAAAGTTTTTAATTAAATGAAACCATTTTCTAGTTACTTTTTAAAGATATGTTTCTTTTTGAAATAACCATTTCCCTCAGTTCATAGCAGTGCATTATGAAATTGAGCATATAGTATGCCATGAGCTAAATCTCTGCGTCAAGTCATTTACATTGTATTTATTCCTTTTGCAATTGCTTCAAATGCACACATGTTTCAGTATTTATGTGTATTTCCTGGGAACTCATTACCGTGACTGCTCTGTTGTCATGTTCTACTAGCTACAGAAATGCCAAGACATGACAAGTTGTGAGTCCTCCATGTATGTTTGTGATGTATATCAGTTGTTTAGCAGGATTGTGTTGTTTGTCAGTGTGTAGAAAGCCTCAGTCATAGTCAGCAACAGGAGGCGAACTGGAGCAGAGTGCCAAACACATCATCAGCCAACAGCCTGACAGATGGAGCAGCTAGGCCTCCCATTCTGATGACCTTTGACCTAATCCTATCTCCCTCTCTTCCCCTTTCCCTGCTGCCCCCAAGACCACCCCAGAGGACGTCTGAAGGTTACCAGGCCTGTCAACCCTGCTCCCTTGAAATTGAATTATGTTAACAAACAAAAATAAAACCCCAGCCCTCT